AAATACTAATAAATTATTTGTGGGCAAATGTTTTTTTTGAAACTTACACATGACTGAGTGGGCAAGTAAGTCTGGGCTGAGGCTACTTGTGATCAGCAATGAAGATTGGATCTAACTAAGTCTTGAAAGACGAGAAGAAGACCAAGCCAAAAAGAAAGGAAGAAAGAAAAGAAAAGAAAAAGAACTCTTTTTTTTTTTAAGGGAAAGCCTTGGCTGTCTACTAGAGGGGGTGATACGAGCAGCCTACACTAGTAGTAGCCTCCAGCTGCTCCATCTATTGGTGGGGAGCTGCACCTGCTGGAAAAGAAAAGAACTCAAACAATGCAAAACAGAAATCGAGAGGTCCAATACCTTTCTCAGGTCTTTTGGCTAAGTAAGATCAAGTGAAGTATCTGTTCTGTTCAGTTTAATATCTGATCCGTGGTCCATCAGGCCACAAAAAAAAAAAAAAAAACGAGAGGTCCGATCCAACTACATGCAATTTCCCACAGCCTAACATTGGGAACTGTGACAATGAGAATCCTTGACCAACTGCTCCTCCTTCTACGTCCTACCTCCGGCCAAAGGAAACTGTGACAACGAGAATCAGCTGAGTCTCCATCCAGTAGGTAGTGGTGGTGATGGTGCTGACGTGTCAAGCAGGAATGGCTTGCGTGTGGTCCTGCACACAATGGACAAGCAACTTACTGACAAAGAATCGAATTCCGACGAGAAACAGGACCAGGATCAAGGAATAGACCAGCTCCCGAGTTGAGGCCGAACCCGGCGGAAGAACAATCTGCGAGCTGGTATATTCCTTGACCCTGGTCGTGGTTTTGGTTGGACTTCCTTCTCTGCGGATTGCTGAAGAATGCACCACCGTGAACCTCAATTGCCTCCTTTTTTGCCTTCAAGTTTCTCTTTATCGCTCTTGTCGGTCTGGTCTGTGTCTCTTTGCCATGAGTGTGTGACGGGCACCCTCTCTCTCTCTCTCTCTCTCTCTCTCTCTCTCTCTCTCTCTCTCTCTCTCTCTCTCTCTCTCTCTCTCTCTCTCTCTCTCTCCCATTTTTTTCTTTCTTTTTCCCCCAAGCCAAGCGTTTCATTTGKTTGTTTTCCTTTTTTTGTTTTTTGCTTTTTTTTAAGAAAACTCTCGTTCGTAATTTTTTTTTTTCATTTTTTCATTTTTTTCATTTTTTCATTTTTTTTTTCATTTTTTTTGTTTTTAGGAACGACGACTTTCCTGTTACCAGTAGCGTGGGGTAGCTCGAGGCTCGGCAAGGCTCGGCATGCCGGTAGCCCGAGGGTGGGACTTGATAGCTGGGAAAGGTACTGGTGGTTTAAGATCGCCCAAGGATGCTGCTTTTAGAGAACCGTTTTGCTTGATGGCCTGCAGTGAAAACGCAGTCTCCCTCTGTTTCCAATTCTTGTCTCGTTTCGATTTATCGCTTTTGCTGGAAACATAAAATGGAGGCTGTAGTGTTCGACACTGGCTATGGGCTTCGGATGGGGGAGCAGCCTCGAGGTTCTGCAGGCTCCAAAAATGTGGTGGCACAACTCCCTTTCCTTAACTCGACTCAATGGTCTTTTAATTCCTTGATTGCTTTATTGCTTTATTGCTCGATTGCCTGATTGCTAGATTGCTGGATTGCTGGATTGCTGGATTACTTGAATGCTTGATTACTTGATTAATTGATTACTTGATTGCTTGATTACACTATTACTTGATTGCTTGATTGCTTGACTGCTCTTGTTGTGTGGAATTCGAGAGGAAGGATGGCAAGCAGTCAAGTAATCAAGCAATCAAGCAATCAAGCAATCAAGTAATCAAGCAATCAAGCAATCAAGCAATCAAGTAGTCAAGTAGTCAAGCTGATTGCTTGATTACTTGATTACTTGATTACTTGATTGCTTGATTGCTTGACTGCTCTTGTTGTGTGGAATTGGAGAGGAGGGAGGCCAAGCTGCTCAGAACAATAAGTTCCAATAATGATTGCTTGATTGCTTGACTGCATTTATAAGACAAAAATGGAAAACAGGGATGGTTGTGCACACGGTACTGAGTTCTCTCACGGCTCTGTACTCCAGAGGCACAGAATTGCCAATCCGCAAGGAGGGATTTGGTGCGGTGCGGTGAGGGAGGAAGATCTCGATGGTCGATGGTCGATAAAGACCATCATGTCCTGGAGCACCGGTAAAGAAGGCGACAACGGACCGTCCGAGCTTCCAATCCTGAAGTCGATTTCCAATCAACACCAGAGTGGAAGATCGGATGGTAGATATAGATCTTGCGGCACGTGCTGCTTCCCACGAGTAGATTGAAGCATTTGCCAAAGAAGAAGAAGAAGAAGAAGAAGAAGAAGACATAGATCTTGCAGCGCCCCGGTGGAGTTGAGCATTGCAGCTGGCTGAATGGTAATACATGATTGATCCAGTAGTTATGGATCCGTGCATACATCTGGGCCTAAGCCCACCTCCGTTGACCATTGAAGCGCCGATTCGAGCCGACGACCTCGGCCTGAAGAGCCAAGTCTCTTAATAACCACTACAGCCACGAACATGATTGATCCAGCCCATCCCCCAGTGCGGGAGAACCTGGTCGCGAACTTCTGGATTAATACAGAATCCCTGTTTATCGAGACTCGTGGCTGTAGTGGTTGAGAGTTCGAACCATTGTGCAGTCAGCGTAACGGTCGATACTCATGCACAAGTGAAGAGTTCGAACCTTGTCTCCGCGGATTCGTGGCCGTAGTGGTTCAGCGTTCGACCGTAACGTGTTTTTTTTTTTGTTTTTTTTGTTTTTTTTTTTTGTAACGTTTTTTTTTTTGCACGGCGGGGTACTGGTCCACGGCGGAGTGCCAAAAAAAAAAAAGGTTATGACCGAGCCACGAAAGGTACTGGTGCAGGAGGCTGGGCATGGAAAAAAAAAAACGGTTCGACCGTAACGCTGGATGGGCTGGACGGTCGATACTGATGCCCATCCAGCGCGGATTGGAGCCGACGGTGTGAAGAGAGTTCGAACCATTGTGCAGTCAGCGTAACGGTCGATACTCATGCACAAGTGAAGAACGGAAGGAAGAGAGAATGCCTCTGTGCAGTCAGAGAGTCGGCGACCAGTTTGGGAGACTCTCCTTACTGGAGTCAGTTGTTACCTCATCGTGGTTTATTCCCGGAAGGAGAGAGCGCGGGAGGAAGACGGATTGAGAGAGAGAGAGAGAGAGAGAGAGAGAGAGAGAGGGACGTAGAGAGCGAAACACAGAGAGAGAGCGAGAGAGAGAGAGAGAGAGGGACGTAGAGAGAGCGAAACACAGAGAGAGAGAGAGAGAGAGAGAGAGAGAGAGAGAGAGAGAGAGAGAGAGAGAGAGAGAGAGAGAGAGAGAGAGAGAGAGATGTGGGTGTCATACGTTCGCAGGGAAAATGACTATCGCTTTTCTCTGTAGCGTTTCAGTTAACGGATGTAACGAATGTTTCTAACAAGAAGAGAGAGAAACGAGAAGAGAGAGAAACGCAGAGACTGAAAACGCTCCAGTTTTGTCGCGTGCCCCAACCGAGAGAGAGAGAGAGAGAGAGAGAGAGAGAGAGAGAGAGAGAGAGAGAGAGAGAGAGAGAGAGAGAGATCTGTGTCTCATACTTTCGCAAGGAAAATGATTATCGTTTTTCTCTGTAGCGTGTCAATTTAACGGATATTCCAAACAGTAAGACAGAGAAACGCAGAGAGTGGAAACGTTCCAGAAGTGCCCCAAATAAAAGAGAGAGAGAGAGAGAGAGAGAGAGAGAGAGAGAGAGAGAGAGAGAGAAAGAGAGAAGTAAGCCCGGAGAATACCGTTCGCAGTGCGATTAACGTGTGTTTATGACCGACATTCAATACCGGGCCGAAGCCGGAATCTCAATCGAACGAACGAATATCACAGGTATGCAGTGGGAAAGAGAAGCAGAAATTACACAAAGAGAAAGAGAGACAGGGAAGGGAGTTCAAGAGAGGACAACAGGAAGAGGTAAAGACGAGGAAGCCCGGAGGAGGATCACGCCATAGCGAACAGAGGACCAGAATGAAGAATGATACTGATGCTGACACACTAAAGACTCCGGGCAGTTTGGGCAGCAATTTTCTTCTTTCAAAAAAAAAAAAAAAATGTATATATATATATATAGTCAAACAGAGCTTTCGTTTGAAGTTTTCCACCCCAAAACTCAAAGGGTTGTCGACAACCGTAAAGGCCCTCTAGTTTCTCATATAGTTTTTTTTGTTTTTGGTTTTTCCAAATATATATAGTTTTGTAAGATTGGGAGCCTTCGCGCAATTCTGGATGCAAAAAAGAAAAAAAGAGGAGGGAAAAAAAAGATCATTGCGATACTGAGACAGCCATATAAACTACCCACCGGTAGTGTCCCCCGAATGGAACACCTAAGCGCTACCGACTTCCTCTTTGGCTATGGTGCCGTCACGATACCTCTGCGGCTGTGCCTACCGGTAGGCGTTCTCTTCAGGGGACACGCCAGTGTGGTGGCAACGGGGCAGCCACGACCCGACACTGGAAGAAATGAAGCAATCTAAACAGAAGAGAAGGCGAAAGGTACATACTAGAGAGCACGAGAGAGCGCAGAAAGAGGTAGAAACCGGGGAAACTTACCAGAAACTCGGAAGAAATGAAGCAATGTAAACAAATGAGGACGCCGGTGGAGCGCGCGCGCGAGAGAGAGAGAGAGAGGAAAGTAGAAACGGGGCAAACACGCCGAGAAACTGGTCCACGAAGAAATGAAGCAATGCAAACAGAAGAGCACACACACACAGAGAGAGAGAGAGAGAGAGAGAGAGAGAGAGAGAGAGAGAGAGAGAGAGAGAGAGAGAGAGAGAGAGAGAGAGAGGATTAGAAGGTGGAGGAAAGGAGCTATGGAGATGATGGTAGGAAGAGCAGCAGGAAGACGAAGAAGGATCAAGGGATGTACTTGTAGGTCACTCCGTAAAGGAGAAGACCTGTTTGCATCCCTTTTTTTTTTTTTTTTTTTTTTTTTTTTTTTTTTACCTGACAGCGAGGTTTGTGATGTACACAACAGAAGGCGTGCTTTCACGAAACAAGGTGACTGTCTGTAGTTCGTCTGCCTGTAGTCTCCTCGGCGATGGTGCCAGAGACGCCATAGCCGTCGGACTGAAGGTCGCACTCATCACCGCCATGGATACCATCATGGAGGACAGGCTAAGTACTACCCACGCTCGTCCTCGTCTTCCCACAAAGCTCCCTCTCCCTCTCCCACTCTCTTCTGCCGACGCTGAACAACTTCCCTGCATCATTATCCGCTCCAAAACCGACACCATCTCCGTCACTCTGTCGATGCAAATTCGGCAAAGCCGATCTATTACGGCGACTACCGACACTCGGAGTCCCGACCTGACAGCTTCAGAATCGCTCGTTATCGTTCCCCCCACCTTCGAGGTCTCCCTGGCATTGCCCTCTTCTCCTCCCTCCTCTCCCCCATCTCCATCTGTCATCTTCCCCCCGCTATCAGCCCCATTTCCTTCAACCCACAGCCGTTGCCGTACTCCACTTCCCCGCTCTGCCCTCGTCTGGCGCGCTGTCCACGACCAATCCCGACATGTCCAACGAGTACTGCCGATCAAGGGATGCCACGTGGGCTCCGTCCATTTGCGATCCCGACCGACACTGCTCTCGTTTGGATGAACTTGCACACGCGGCGCTAGATTGACGACCAGCGCTCTTTGAATGATAGTCGCCAGACGATGCAAATCCGACGGGTGTTTGTGGAATGCAATCTTCCCTTCGGCTCCTCCCCTTCCTCCTCCTCCATGTCGGCGTCTTCCAATCCAGAAGTGCTCTCTACATCCTCCCTTCGAACCCTCATAGCGATTGCAGTCATGAATATTGCATCCACGTAATGCCGGGTTGCAGTGTGTTGATGCAATCATCACGTCTCTCTCTCTCTCTCTCTCTCTCTCTCTCTCTCTCTCTCTCTCTCTCTCTCTCTCTCCTCAGGAAGATGTGCACGGAGTTTTGGCTCTGAACTCTTGATGACGTGCAAAAAAAAGAACGGGAGATGATGGTTCTCTCTTCGTCAGCGACCATGGACAGGTGGCAAGTACTTGCCGTGTCGGAGCAGATTGATTTTCATACGTACCGTTAGTACGTCCGTTACGGGGGCCGTTAGAGGCCACTGTTTCAGTTTGGAGCCATCTGTTGAAGGGGTGGACATCGGGAAGCCTCGGGACACGGGGAGGGTGGGGGGGGGTTCAGCAGTGGTGTCAATTCATTCAACCCGTAGGGTATGGGGTTCGGCCGAACAGGCCTGTAATTGCAGGACTCTGCCATTGTTCTAGACGAATCCACTTCATTCCAGAGGTCTTACCCCTCTTCTAGGCCATTCATACCCACAAATGAGGGGTCACGCTGGGGTTTCCCGAATCCTGCCGGCCAGACAGACCATAGGGACAATTACGACCAGGGCCACCGAGCTATATTCATGCTTTCAAAGCGCCAACATGGCAGTGATTGAGCATATGGCCAGACCCCACTGGGCTATGATCTGCGGTGATCATTCTAGATATTGAGCATATGCCCAGACCCCACTGGGCTATGATCTGACGGGAAGTACTCACACAAGGACTTCCTCAACTGAGGGCATACTCACACGGGGACCTAATCACCTTACATTCCAAGATTTGAGGCATTTTGGGGTCACTTTGGAGAGGTCCGCTACCCAAATGCCTCAAATGGTGACCCTTCTGTCAGCGACCTGCGGGGTCGTGGGAGGACCCTTTTTGGCACCACCTCCAGAGGTGGTCTCAAACCACCTTTCAATTTTTTTTTCCCCATCTTACCTTATTGCCAGAAATCGTAGAAGAAAACAGCTTGCCAAACAAAAGACAAAAAAATTGGCAATGTTGTGACGCCCAACCTCACGACCGGCGCGACTTCCTGATCGGAGTGTGAGTGGGCCTGGAAGTGCGGAAGGGGGTGTGCCAAGGATTTCAGGAAAGTCGGGGTGGAGTCCCAGGTCGGAACTGAGATCTCCGGTGGCAAGTTTCAGGGATACGAATGCAGGAGGGTGGGCGTAGATCGGAGTCCTGTTTTGTGCTTCGGGAATCAGAGCTGCCGCCTCTGTCCATTCCGTCGTGTGGGTCGGACTCGTATCTGGTGCACCGTCGGGATGCTATGGCTATCCCGCTGGCTGGTCACATGCCGACGTCGAACGTCGCAAGTCTCAAAATCCGACACAGCCGGCCTCAATCCAAGGTTGTGCACCCGTCGTTCTTCCTCTGAGCGAGTTCGCTGGATGAAGCCGGAGGCTCGGTACTCGTGGTCCTGCAGACACTCCGAGCACGGGGGTTGACGTCAGTAAGGAGCGATTGCGCGCCAGGGGGCGATGGTCAGGGAGTGATAGGGTAGGATGTGGTGACAAGGAGGGCATTCGGTCCCCAGGATGATGATTCCGGGTTTCGTGACGACGTGACACGTGTATGGGCTAGGGCAGCTGGGGGGATGGGGGATAAGTCCCAAGGCCTTATAGATGTCCCACTCCCAAACACGTTCGTTCCCGGTTAAGTAAAGGAAATTCGGGGGTTCTGCCCTTGATCGCGCCGACAAACAAGAGTGTTCCCAATATTCATGGAATTCCCGATCCCTCAAACACTCGAGGTCAGTGATACGAAAGGGGATTTCGATATTCATACTGCAGGATGGGCAAAAATTCAGACATTCGGGAAGTAGGCCGAGTACAGGTTTTGCAGACACGCGTGTAAGTAACGCCCTTCCTCGGTCGGGCTTACATGCGCGTGCACAAAACCTGTTCGTTGGTCGGGTGGGATAACAACCAACAACTCTTGACCAATACGCATGGGCTTGTTAACCCAAAGGCGGGCAATCCTGTTGTGAGACAGACATCTAATCGCCTAGCATGCCCATCTAGTCATACCCAGACATCAAACATTCATGCATACAACTTCAAACATGCACACTCAAAAGA